CTCTTTCTCTCTCTCTTTCTCTCTTTCTGTCTTTCTCTCTTTCTTTCTTGAGGATAGAACCCAGGGGAATTCTACCTTTGAGCTATATTCCCAGCCCTTTTTATTTTTTATTTTGAGATAGGGTCTTGCTAAGTTGCCCAGGCTGGCCTCCAACTTGCAATCCTGCCTCAGCCTCCTGWGTCACTGGGATTACAGGTGAGCACCACCACTCCCACTAAGAATACAGTTGTTTAGTGGACCGATGAATAAGAACTGTGGAGCTGGGYGCAGTGGCGCATGCTGGTAATCCCAGCAGCTTGGAAGGCTGAGGCAAGGGGATCRCAAGTTCAAAGTCAGCCTCAGCAACTTAGTGAGATCCTGTCTCAAAATAAAAAGGGTTGGGGATATAGCTTAGTGGTAGAGTGCCCCTGGGTTCAGTCTCAAATGCCCCTCTACCCCCCCAAAAAAAGTGTTGAACACTTTATAAGCTGAGGGCATAGAGCAAGGTAGGTTGGATTCCAGAACGTAAGCTTGGAGTGAAAAAGCAACTGGAAGTTGGCATTGAAAGTGGGGATCCCTGGCAGGGCATGGTGGTGTACACCTGTATAACCCAGCAGCTCAGGAGGCTGAGGCAGAAGGATCGGTAGTTCAAGCCAGCCTCAGCAATTTAGCAAGGCCCTAAGCAACTCAGAGAAAACTTGTCTCTAAATAAAAAATTAAAAAGGGCTGGGATTGTGGCTCAGTGGTAGAGTGCTCGCCTAGCACAAGAGGGACCTGGATTTGATCCTCAGCACCACATAATAATAAAGGCATTGTGTTGTGTCCATCTACACCTAAAAAATAAATATTAAAAAAAGAAAGAAGCCCTTAGAAATTTGGCTTTGCCTCCTTTCTTCCTGACAAGTGATCTGACTTGTGAATGACCAGGTAGGGCAACTGTACATCTATCATAACAATTTATTCACTGAATGCTTGCTAGGTACTATGCACTATTTGTGTACCATAGCATCTAGTTCTCATAGAAACCTTATGCACCAAGGTTTGTTGTTGGTTCCATTTCACAGAAACCAGGACGTAGAGAGGTGAACAATTTGCCCAAGGTCACACAGCCAAGAAACAGAAGTGCCCAGCTCTCTATCTTGACAGCCTGGGTTATCAGATATCAGTGGTGGCACTTGGTGATGCATCGTGGCTGGAACCCAAAGTCAGTTATTGGGTGTTATGTGACTATTTTACAAAGCCACTGAATGGCCAGAACTTGTGACTAGCTTTTGCCATCTTACAAGTCACATTCACTTTGGTGTAGTTAGGCTTTCCAAATCATAGTGCTCTATGACCAGTGGTCTGTCACTGACTTGAAGGCAAGGAGCACATCCCATGTAGAGGACCATGATCCCAGACAGATGTTCTATGTTCTTATATTTGTCATTTTACTCTTTTTCTTTAATTGCCTGAATGATAGTACACTTTACACCCCAGGATAGATTCTCTTGATGATTTTAAGCTGTATACAGCAAACTCTGGCCAACTTCATTTTTGAAATTAATTTTTTTTAAATTTTTTAGTAGGTCAGGGACAAATTATAAAAATGAAGAACTAGATAAAAAATAACACAGCTTTTTTAGTACGGTAGAAGACAACTTGCATACAATAACTCTTAATATTGATGATGCCTTGAATGGTACACTGTCTTTCTTCCAAGAACAAATAGCTCAAAATAGGGGCCAGACTATTTTTTTCCTAAGTTTACCACAAAAGAGAAATTGGACTGCTGTTGTTCTTGCAAAAATGCAAATTACAAATCAATCTGAAAGGAATTAAGCTGCCCTTGGTAACGTSAGGCCTGGGAACTGGTGTCATTTGTATGGATTCCAGTGGGGATTTAATAAGACCAGGTGGACAGCACTGAACGATTGGGAAGAGAGACAGAACGGGTTGTCTGGGTTTTTGAAAATTTAATGAGGATGTGACTTGACACATGGACTCCTGTTGTTTGCTTGGGCAGAGTGGAGCATGTTAATCTGTTCAAGATCATCTCCATTCCTAGACAAAATTAGATTTTAGAAAACATTACTTTCCTTTCGTGACCATCAGCTGACAGTGAACTGGCTATGGTATGTGCCTTCCTTGGATTGGACCAGACCCTTAACCAGATGTAACGGATTAGCCAAGGTCCCCATCTACGGACAGTCACCACCATGTCTGCATTTCTTAACTATCAGAGGTTATCAGAAGAGATGGGAACTACTCTTATTCAGGAACTGGAAGCATCCACAGCTCAAGCAGTGTGGGAAGACTCTTTCTGGACAAGCAAAAAGAGTCTTGGCAGGGTTTTGACTCTTGTGATTCTTAGAACAGCAAGAGGACACTTGTGTCTGATTTCACAGACTTCCACTAGCAGGATGGAGAAGGATATACAAAGAAGTCCTGACCTTTCCGGAATGTGCACATTCTTGACTTTGTAAACTATTTCTGCAATGGTCAAAGCRCTCATAAATGGGTTTCAACATGTTTTCAGAAGGTCTCCCACGTTTCATGGTCCTGTTCATCTACCAAATACTATTGTTTTCTCGATTTTTTACATGGCCACACCTGGCAATGGAGAGTGGAGACAGAATACAGATTATAGTCTCTTTCTGAAGGAGTTTAAAGGTTACAAAGTTAGCACACATGAAACAACAAAAACTGAGAACATCTATAAATAGGATAGGGCATTGAAATTACAATTAAATAATTATTTGCATAATTACTTGCTTAATGGCTTTTAGGCCATCAGTCCCAGGAAGACAGGGACTTCACTGTATTCCCAGCACCTAGAACAGAGATGAATGCAGGAGGTATCTAAATCTTTATTTTCTGGCTGAGTGACAGCAACAATGTAATAGTTGGGTTTAATATTATTATCTTGGAGCAAAGTCTGTTGCACAAATTAGTTTCCTTCCAAACTCACTTATATGACTTTCATCATCTGAGCAAACTGCTAATAATTGAGTGCCTATCTTAGTGGATAACTAGAATACTTAATGGTCTTGCATGTAGGGGCAACATTAATGTAAGCAGATAACTGCTAACAGTAGAATTCAAGAAACACCAGAAATCACCTCTTTTTAAAAAAATCTAATTTTTCTCTGAAATATTGATTCCTTTGCGTTGTGAAGGTTTTAAAGTCTTCCAATTTCCCCAATAAAGTATAGAAAAGACACCCTAAGCCTTTATTCTTCCAGTACCATTTTTTTTTGTTTTTGTTCTGATACTGGAAATTGAACCCAGAGTACTTTTCCATTGAGTACATCCCTAGCTGTTTTGTTTATTTATTTAATTTTGAGACAGGGTGTTGCTAAGTTGCTGAGACTGGCCTCAGTCTTCCCAGTATYTGGCATTATAGGCATGCACTGCTGTGCCGGATTTCTCCCAACACTTTTTTGCAGGATTTGTTGGAATGGGAGCACAGGATAACCTGTGGGATGATATATTCTGCTTACAAATAATTGGGTTGTGTTTCATATGGAAATTAGATTAGATGGAGATCACAATTTTGGGATTCAAACTTGGAGAGAAGTACCTATAGATCACACTTTAAGGAGACCAAAGAATTAGGAATTGACATTGAAAAGCATTTATAATTGATAATATCTTTGAGTTCAAAGCTCTACATAGCACATTATCAAGTTCAAAGTATGCCGTCTTTTTTTTTTTTTTCTCAGTAATGATGCTCTTATCTCTAGATAACAAAGCTGACAGGAACAAGATCAGGAAGCCACATCTGTGGGTTGGGACTTGGACATATATCTCCTGACTCCCAGATCCTTTTCCTGTTGCATCTTTGTCACACAAACTGCCAAACATTTTATCTACACCCAGAAGTGTCCCTACAGTTTAGGAAGCACCAGAATGCTGGGTGTTTAATTCTTGAGGTTATTAGGAAATTGAACTCTTTGGAATCATCCCATGACTTTGAACAAAAAGGTTGAAAACTGTCTGCTTTGATAGATGATGGCGGAAGGATCCTTTGATTCAATGGGCAATTTGTAAATATAAAACAGTTGCTGGAAAATTCTATTAGAGATGAACTATCTCCTCCATTACAATGTTTGCTTTTCTTTAATGCAATTTTGTTCGAGCAGAAGGCTTGGAAAGGCCCACATTCAATGCTTCAGGAAGAATTACTGGAAATGAGATATCAGAGAAAGACAATCCATAGATTTGGAACAGGGGCGGGGGGCTAAGCCTTCCGCCCAGCTCCTGGCTGTGCCCACGTGAAATTGAATTCAGAGCTCCTTCTGCATCATAAATCCCGGCAGCTGGCAGCAATCCAAGGGAGACTGGCGCTAAACTCCAAGGGCATCTGACGCCAGTCTGGCCAACCCCTGTTAAAGCCCTCTGAGGGCTGCACCCCAGGTGTGCTGGATTGGGATTCGGTTCCTACCTCAGGACAACATTCATTTATATACCTTGCACTTTGTTAATTTAAAGATGCACCCATGGTCAGAAAAAGGAGAGGTTTCATTATATTTCAAAAAGCTGAAAGGCTGTCATCAGTTCCAGGACAGGTCCTAGGACAGGAGGGGCAAGGTCTGACTTCTCAGTGCTTTCATTCCTAGATCTTTTTTCGCCCCCGGAGTGCACGTGCGAGTTAGACACCCGGCCACCGGGTTTCGTAGAGTGGGACGTCCCCACGTCTCGGACCCTCCGTTCCTGTCCAGGCTGCTGGAGGGCAGGGGTGAGGGGTCTCGAGCCGCGCTCTGGGGGCCTGAGCTTGAGGGTCTCACGTCTCTGCCACCGCAGAAGCAGCCGGGCCGGGCGTGTTCCCGCGGGCGGGGCAGCCACCGAGGACCCCGCCCACCGCCACCGGGGGGCGGGGCCTGCGTCACGTGACGGCGCGCCGAGCAGTGAGCCCCGCCCGGCCGGAGGAGGCCCGGCCGCGACCCGGGCCGCGAGCTGTGGAGCCGCCCGTCCACCCGAGCGCTCGCTCTGCGGCGCCCCCCGCCCCGGCTCCTAGCCCGCCCGCCCCGGGCTCGCCGGCCGCGGGAGTGGCCTCAAGATGGACGAAGACGGCGGCGGCGAGGGCGGCGGCGGTGAGTGTCGGAGGTGTGGCCGGCCCGCCGGCGGCCTGGGGCCGGGGTCGCCTGAGGAGACGCGTCCGGGCGGCGTCGCTGCGGGCTGGTGACCGCGGAGGCCTGAGGCGCGCGGACCCGGGGCGAGGCGGGGGCTCGGCCCCGGGGAGGGGCGGGCCGCTGAGGGGTTGCCGGCCAGTGCACGGGAGGGTCCGGGTGCGAGGCGGGTCGCCACGGGCCGGGGTCTCCGCGGAGGGGTTGGGGTCGCCCTGGTGGGGCGGGGACCCTGCGGGGCGACCTTCCTCGCGTGTTGTTGCCAAGGGCGTCCACGCCCTCCGGAGAGGTGTCGGAAGACCCCAGGCAGCAGCTCTTCTCAGGTGGTGGGAGCGGGCGAGCGGGTGGGAACCCGGGAGGGGAAAGTTTTTTCTCGGGGCTCCTCCGGGGTCCATCAGGGATGGGGGGAGGTTGGAAATCGGGACCGTTTTCCTGGCTTTAGATCCGGAGTGGTCTCTGGGAAATTGCTTAGGCGAGGAGGGGGGCAGCTCCAGTCCAGGTCTGGGCACGCATTTTATGAAAGAGCAAAGGTTACAGAGTAAGCAGAAGAACGAGTCGGTGTTGCGGAGGGTGGGCGACAGGAGCCCAGGCAGCASCGGAGGGGAGCCCCGAGATCAGGTGCGGAGGACACCTTTCCGAAGTGGGTCGTGCCGGTGCCCGGYGTGGCCCTGGTTGTGTGTCCGACATTCCGCGTCCTCTTGCAGGAAGGGTCGTGTTTGTTGTAAATTATTTAGTGGAATACAAATTACTGTCGTGTCATGCTGTGAATTAGGTTTCAAAACTGAGTAACGTGCCTCCCTGTATGGGGAGTGGGTCCATTGATTTGGAAAGCAAAGGGTTAATGCCCATATTTTTTACAGGAACACCCCAAGTTGAGGCGCTCTATCCTTTGGCTAATGATCTCCTTTTTGCTGACAGACCGAATCATCAGAACCCCGTGTAATAAGGGAGTGTTTAGAAAAATCTTAATTACAGGCTGCCGGAGCAGCTGCCTGTAAGAATCAGCAGTATTGAAGGGTTCGGGATGAAGTGGTTAATCAAGGTGCCTTCTAGAATGCAAGTGCTGCTCAGAAGGAAATCATTTTTGCTGAAAGAAGCGGTGCGGCAGGGCTGGTGGGAAGTTGGCACCAGTCATGGCATTTGGCAAGTTCAGTTCTCATAGTTAAAGCCAGGGGTAGCACTGTGGCACCGAGTGGGTGTGTTGTTTATGAAGGAGAATGCTGTGTAAAGAAGGAGCCCAGTTGCAAATCCTCCTACAGCCTGGCTGTCCGTCTGGAGACACCGGATCCTAAGTAATAGATTCCCTCTGGATGCCCTGCTTTTTTGCCCAGCACAATTTGGAATAGCAGTTTTCCCCTTATTATAAAATAAGACAAACAACTGTAATATTTGAACATTTGACATTAGAGTCAAAGAGGCTAGCTGTCTTGGCGATTTTGTTTGGAAAGTGCTTCTGACTCTGACTAAAGAAATGAGGAACACTTGAAGGTAAAAAGCAGGTATAAAGAAAAAAAAATGAGCCAGTGTGCTGCAGCTATTTATAGCTCTCCAGAACCATAACAAAGGATGATATTAGGTATCAGTAAGGCTTAAAACTATCTTTGGGTTATTAATATCTCTTTTGGGAATGTGTCACAGAGAAACAACCTTGAAATTCAAAAATATATATGATGCGTGACAGTATGTATTACACTATAATTGTAAAAAATTGGAAACAGTAATGTTCAATAGTAGAATGGTGAGTTACATTTGGGAAGTTTGTGAGGGAGACATTTTCAGCCATTAAACATAAGCAGCTTTGCATCCTTGTCTAAACAATGAAAAAACTGGTAATAATATGTTTTATTTTTTTAGTTTTTATATTTTCCAGGTTTCTGGAAAAAGTGTGTGCTACTTTCAAATTTGAAAAAGAAACTCAGTTTATAAAAGGCATACAGATGTTTTACATGTACAGGATGATTTAATTCATCTCACTGGAACATTGAACAATGAACAGATATTCATTGTCTACTAAAATGCCAGGCAGCATGCTAGGTGCTGCCAAACTTTTAACCTTTATTGGTTTGGTTTATCAAAATCTTTCTTCCTTGAATTGTGAAAGACATTTAAGAATATGTTTGGTAATTGAAGAATAAGTAATTTTGAATCAAATAAAAATCTTTCACAGTTTTGAAATATGAGTCATTTTTAGTGCTTGTTGTATAAACTTGATGTACTGTTGATTGTTGGAGGTTTTGAAGTTTACATACCTTTTTATAGTTCTGTACAGTTAGCATCACTTAGATTAAAAAAAGTTTTTTTTTAATATTTATTTTTTAGTTATAGGTGAGCACCGTATCCTTACTGTACTTTATGTGGTATTGAGGATCGAACCCAGTGCCTCACACACACATGCCAGGCGAGCACTCCACCTCTGAGCCATAACCCCAGCCCAGATTAAAAAAAAGTTTTGCTTTAAAATTCATGTTTTAAAAAATGAAGTTCAAGGGCTGGGGATATAGCTCAGTTGATAGAGTGCTTGCCTCGAATTCACAAGGCCCGGTTCTAATCCTCAGCACTATTTAAAAAAAAAAAAAAGAAAGAAAGAAAGAAAGAAGGAAAAAGGGAAAAAAATGAAGTTCAGCCTTTTGAAAGAGAACAATTTCAGTTGCCAGTTGATTGTAAAGCATAACACTTTTTGATATATCTTTAGAGTGTAGGAAAGAACTTTGAGCTGTGTCTGGGGAGTCAGTTTCAGCTTGTTTAGATGAAGTAAATGATCTATTCATACAGTAGTTATGACAGAGGCCAAAGATTATTTAAAAGATCTTTTTTGTTAATGTTTTGGCTGGGTACTTTAAAATTTTATTTAAAAGTTGATTCTCACTTGCTGCTTTTATAATATAACTTTTTGTTCAGGATGTAATTCTTTGTTCTTTCAATGCAAGATAAGGAGAGGATGGTGGCATGAATGGCTGGAAGGCAGTTACAAGGAGGAGCCAGTTGGGGGTACAAGATTACAAGAACACATTGTTTCTTATAATGTGTGCAGAGTGTAGTTAAGGTATTTGTAATTTTTTTGGCACTTGTTGCCTTTCTCTTTTCAACAGTTTTTTTGGATATGTCTCTACTTGGAAGGTGACTGGCTAGTTTGGCACATTGCCATCATTTGTCTGATTGATGTTCCTGAATGGATTGTCCATGGCAGATGAGGTGAATTAAGTCAAATTGGTTCTCCTTCCTGTTTCCACTTACTCCCATCAGTATAGATGAGGATTAAGTCTGGCTCAAAGTGACACTCAGCCTCACTCAAAATAAAATAAATATAAATTAAGATTAGATTGAGATTCTATCTTTCATATGTCAGACAAGTGATAACCCCCAAGTTTGAAAGCAGAATGTTGGCAAGACTGTCTCAGCATTTACTGGTAGGAGTATAAATTAGTCATGGCTCTCAGGGAGGCTCAATATACCCTGTGTCCTATTGGCTTAAATCCATTTCTTGCCTTTTCCCCCTGCAGAGGGATTCACCTCCACAGGCAGCATTTCCCTGGTCCTTGGTCACCTGCCCTCCACCTGGATTTGGCCAGTGGGAGCCACTGGTGGGAGATTGGATGGCAGGAGGAAGAGGGAAACCAGGTGGTTTTGTTACTCTTCCCCTCCTACTGCCTCAGACAGTGTCTCTGCAGCTGCCTTGTCCTTTGGCCCCAGCACCTGAGCTTTGGAAATACCTCTTCCTGTCTACTCTGCAACCAAGAGGTGGGAGCATCTTCTTGCTCTTGGTAATCTCCAGGCTGTCTTACTGTTTCTTGTTTGACTTCTGTTTTCCATCACATAAGTAACCAACTCCTTATATTAAATTCCTCAGTTTCAGACCCTTAAAGAGATGGCAATTTCTCTGGGTGGACCCCAATATATACAGGATGTTGGTCAGTATAAAATTACAAGTGTAGCAGGGCTTAGGGTGTAGCTCAGTGGTAGAGCTACCCCTGGGCTCTGTTGGGGGTGTATCACAAGTATAGAAATCCTTTGACCCAGCAATGCCAGTTCTAGGAATTCAAGCCTGCAGATACATATGTCCATGTGTGAGATAATATAGGCAAAAAAATTACTCATTGCTTTGTTCATCAGCAGAAAACTGATTAGATAAATGACAACATGCCCAGATGGTGAATGAAATTGTGAAATTGTAGAAAGGATCAGGAAGCTCTTTGTGAATTGATACAGAAAGAGCTCCAAAATACACATGAAAATTACAAGGAACTAACAACAGTGGCTACCTATTTGGGGAGGTGATGGGGAAGATAAGAGGAAACTTTTCACTATATGCCTTTTTATTTCTTGACATTACAAAAGTTTTGTCTATCTTCACTTTCTAAAATTAGAAAACAATTTTTGTGGACAAATAGTATAGTATACTGATAAGAACCGTCTTGCCTTTTTTTTTTTTTTTTTGGTGTGGCTTACAAACCCAGAGCTTTGTACTTGCTAGGCAAGAGCTTTACTATTAACCTACCCCTACTTCCCACCTCCAGCCCCAAATATCCTTTTTGAGGGAATTTATGTATTTATTTATTTTTTATTATTATTTTTAATTTTTTTTTTTTTTGGTGGGGTTCTTTTTTTTTGTCTTTTTTGGAACTGGGGGTCGAACCCAGGGCTTTCGAATGCAAGGCGGACGCTTTGCCACTGAGCTACATCCCAGCCCAATTTTTAAAAAATATTTTAAAAATTGTTTATGGATCTTTATTTCATTAATTTATATGTGGTGCTGAGAATTGAACCCAGGGCCTCACACATGTTAGGCAAGTGCTCTACCACTGAGCTACAATCCTAGACCTTTATTTATTTTTATTTTTAGTTTTTTAAAACATTTTTTTAGTTGTAGATGGACATAATATTTTTATTTTTATGTGGTGCTAAGGATTGAACCCAGTGCCTCACACATTCGTGGCAAACGCTGAGCTACAACTGAGCTACAACCCCAG